CTGACCACCAGTAGCCAGAGGCTCGCGCCGTCGCGTCCTGTCAAGTCGATCACCGCTAAAAAAGGGGAGGATACCACGAAACTGCTCAAGTACATCGACGATAACGTCATCGGCAAGAACGGCACGTTCTTCGGACCATTCGGCCGCAGGAAAGGTCAGTGATCAATATAGTCTTTACCCGTACCGCTCCCTCCAGTCAGCCCTGCTGCCCCTTGCCCCCACCAAACCATCAAACCCTCTCCCCCTCTCTCTCTTTCTATCTTTTCGCGACTTTCTCGATCTCTCCGTTTCTCTCTTTCTCCCTCCTCCCATGACACGCATCGAATCCACTATACAAAGAGGCGCGTCTAGCTCGATCCAGGGACTCCTCTCGTTAAGATCATCGACATCGTTCGATTAACGTTTACGAGCTGTGTATCCTATCAATAAAATCGAAGCTTCTCGCAGCTTCGACACAATTCCGACCGTTCACGAGGATGTCGCTCTCGAGCGACTTCCTCTCCTCTTCGTCCCTCTCCTCTTTGTCCCTCTCCTCTTCGTCCCTCTCGAACTCGTCGAGTCTTAAGGGCTTTAGAGTCTAGGTCGTTACACCTAAAATAGCGCGTATATACGTGGATGCGTTTCGTCGATTCGGACGGAAAGGATGAGTCTCCCTCAGTTTTTTTCTCGAGCAGCTGCTTCTGCCCCGAAGTCTGTTTCGCTATGCGCTTGGTCTCGTACGAGAGGGATACCTTACGAGTGCACTTGGCATATACCTTTCGTAACACGATACTTCGGGGAGAGCTGCGCGCGGAAACCTCTAGCATGTGCTGCGAGCATGTATCTCCAATTAGGAACATAAGAGCGCGTTGTGGTGCGGTTTGCGGCACCTCTGATCGATATCGCGAGAAAGATCAACTCGGTTTTATCCTCGTGTCGTATCTCTATTATTGTTAACACGGTCGCGTGTTCGGCGCGTGAGGTCTTGGAAAAGAGACACACAATTTCCACAATTCTTCCTTTAAATTATTCCGTTTCCCGTGGAAGAAGGAAACAAGGGACACGCGTAACGCAACGAGAAGAAACGAGCGTAGTGGACACGTACGCGAATGAACCGGGCTCGATCGCGTACGACGCTTGCATAATTAATTCCCTTCAAGTATTTTGCTTTCGAGCGAGAGAGGGGCGGGGAACATAACG